ACGCTAAGAGATGCAGGACACTAGGATTTCTTAAGCGAAACCTGAGAGTAGATTCGCCTTCTCTACAAGTTAAGTCATACGCATCAGTACTACCCCTCCAGTTGAAATACTGTAGTACTGTTTGGGACCCTCGTGAAGGCGTGCTTACAATTTGGAAATGGTGCAGCGACGGACCGCCAGATGGGCACTGGGGAGATATCAGTTATTAGCAAGCGTGGCAGATGCTTTTAAAGAGCTCAACTGAAGAACCTTAGAGCAGAGAAGAGTCGACACACTCCTGACCATGTTGTATACGATCTTTAACAACTTAGTTGCAGTGAGCCCAGGCGACAATTTTCGTTCACCAACCGGCAAAAGTAGTTATGTCCAAGATCACTCCTTCATCCCGATATCCTCCTCTGCAACCTCTCACAGACTGTCTTTCTTTCATTTCCCTGCCTCCAGATGTCAACTCCCTACCTCCAGATGTCTAATCTCTCCGCTGATCCTACTTAGTTCTGGGCCAGTGTGTCTAGAATAATCATCAACAGTTGGAGTTATTTTGGACACATTGTTTCTGAATTGAGCTACTAACTNCCGCCAGATGGGCACTGGGGAGATATCAGTTATTAGCAAGCGTGGCAGATGCTTTTAAAGAGCTCAACTGAAGAACCTTAGAGCAGAGAAGAGTCGACACACTCCTGACCATGTTGTATACGATCTTTAACAACTTAGTTGCAGTGAGCCCAGGCGACAATTTTCGTTCACCAACCGGCAAAAGTAGTTATGTCCAAGATCACTCCTTCATCCCGATATCCTCCTCTGCAACCTCTCACAGACTGTCTTTCTTTCATTTCCCTGCCTCCAGATGTCAACTCCCTACCTCCAGATGTCTAATCTCTCCGCTGATCCTACTTAGTTCTGGGCCAGTGTGTCTAGAATAATCATCAACAGTTGGAGTTATTTTGGACACGTTGTTTCTGAATTGAGCTACTAACTAATCAGCTAGTTACTTGTTATTTATGTTTTGAGTTTTATGTTTTGCTTTGTCTTTGTTTGTTTTTTTTTTTACCACACCGGCTAATAAACCTATTTTTGAGAGGTTGCAGTATTGGTAAATAAATAATCAAAACATTTTGCTTTCAGTGATCATTTTGTTGATTCTGTTAACCTTTTCTCTTGTTTATGTTAGTCACCCAAATGTACCTGATAGATACATGATTTTTCTTTGCACCCTTCAGAGTCCCAACGCCGCTGTGGCATGTCCTTCTATGCGCAGAAGCCTGGCGCCGCCTAAAATCGCCTGCAAGAAGCCTGATACCGACTCTGTGTTTATTCGTGTTCCCATCCGCGACCCAGGCCTTGGATCAACCACATCACCCAACTCCAAGCATCCGTCGGGAACTGGTGCCAAGTTAACTTCTTCCTTGTTGTCTCTGTGGTTCGTTATTGTCTTGAGTATTTGGCGTTTAAGCGATTTTTTATGATTTGTCGTATAGCGCTTTTAAACTGTGCATCGGAAGTAATCGCGTTCACACTCTTCTTTTACTTGTGAACGCGATTACCTTACATTTCTTCTTGGAGATTGCTAACTTTGGTTTTGTTTCAACGCACACTCTTGAAAAGCGACATGGTTGAATCAATTTTTGCCATGACCTTATTAGTTAGTTTTAATTCATTCCTCGGATTTCATTGTATTGATAACCGCTTTGCTTTTCTTTGTTGTACAAGAGTTTGAGGATAAAATCCTAATGTGACCCGCTCAAAATAAAAGATGTTTTTTACTCAAGTCATGTGCCGTTAATCAGTGTAGTTCTAACCCATAATAATGATAATGATGAAGATGATGATGATGATGATGATATTTTCTTAGCGTCTAAGAAAGGACCAAAGCAAATTGGCCCCCTTCGAATTGGCGCCTCTCTTTAGGCTTATGAAATATCAATTAAGCGCCTCCCTTCAAATAAGTGCCCCCACACTAAATCACTGAATATGCAGCATAGAAGTAAAAGTGGAATCGGAGACTTTCAATACTAAAACTTTGAGAACCTTGAAGAAAACAGAACTGAGATTTAAGGCAGTGCTCTCCTGAGGCCGAAATTTAAAAAACGAAATAAGCGCTCCCTCCGTTCAAGTAAGTGCCCCCTTGGAATTAGCGCCCTTCCTCTCAACTCAGGCAATTAAACAAGCAGGACGCTAATTGCAGCATTTACGGTGAACACGACGAACTCCTAACTACCCAGACCAAGGGATATTTGCTTACTGACATTTCTATGGGAAAAGCTCTGGGCACGTGGTTATTAAAAGATTTGTCATCCACTTGCCTTGTCTTCTACTTGTTTGGTGATCTAGAAAAACAAAACTCTTGCTTTTAAATAGGATTGCTGCGCGTGGTTTCGCAGTAGTTTTTTTTTACTGATGTAAAAGCAATAACCCAAGTCACTGCATTTGTAAACGTTAGGAGCCCTCCATTTGCGTTTTGAGGAAGGGTTTGGGTGAAAGGAAAGAAAAATGTCCAGCCCTGCAAACTTACCAAAAATTAGAGACAAATTTCTGTAGCAATGGAGCGCGTGCGTGGGGAAGCTCCGCTATTAGTGGTACTTTCATATTTACATCTTTACGCACCTTTTTAAAAACGTAATGAAAAATGGTCTCAAATACTGTTTTTGTATCAAAAACGGACTTACGAGAGCAATATTTCAGGGTCAACTCTTCAGGATTCTCCTGAAGCATTGACTACGCAAGATGTTTCTGAAATGTGACGCCACTTTGTGACGTGAGGTTGTGTCCACAGTATACGGAAGAGTTTTTTATATCGGCACGAAAAGTTATCCGGTAGAGTTTGAACACCTGTTCACACTGCGCCAAAAAGTGGCACAGAAACATATCAAGATCGGCGCGGCGCAGCTTCGATCCGTCACAGAATCCGCGTGTGAACAGAAGAACTAACTGATATCGTCCTGTATACTGTAGTGTAGACATTACGGAGCTTAAGCAAAGACAGTTTTGAGCGACGCACGTCAACCGGAAGTGAAACATTTTCCCTTTTTATATGCCTTGAGTCTACAAAATTTGTATTCCTAAGCGTCTTTCCCCTTATAGAGGCGATTTGCCTGAAAATTTGGTCAAATCACGCCACAAGATTGCAAAGATTACTTCCGGTTGACGTGCGTCGCTCAAAAACTTCGTTGCTTAAGCTCCCTAATATTGTCTAGCCGGTTCACACGGCACGGGACGAATTTTCGACCGATTGAAAATTCGTGTGTTTAGGCTTTTCGTTTGCACGGAACCACCTCAACCGTAAAAATATTAAGACGTACTAGCTGTTTAAAGTATCGTGTGAACAGAGCGAACATACTGAACGATCCCGTGTGAACAAAGTGGCCGCTCAAATTTTGTAGCTGGTCGAAAATTGGTTCAGCGCCGTGTGAACGTAGTAGCCATAGCCTCAGGTACAATATTTTGTCAAAGGAATGTACCATCCAAGCGGATTGTGTACAACACTCGAGTTTATTGATAAAATGTAGAACAAAAGTTTTCTGCGTGCTCTTTATAGCGATAACAGTTCAAAGGGGAACATTTCTTCTTAACTAATCCTGAAGTACAAAATATGCATTTCTTCGTTATATTACAAAATGTGCAATTAGCATTCACACGACGAATAGTCGTTATGCATGTTCACGTCAGAACAGCAAATTTCACCGCCTCGCCTCGTTTTGAAAGGATAAAGTTTCGAAGTTTTGCATAAATGAATTCCAAAGGCAGTAGAGATGAAAAGCGAGAATACCCACGCATAAAGAGTGCAAATGCGAAGAATTATGTTTACGAACGAAGCTTAGTGGTGAAATTCTAGCTCGTGTGACGTAATCATACATAAGAGCCATTAATCGAGGCGTCGATTTTACAAATTAACGCTTCAGTTTGTAGATTACCTGATCATGAGTATGAGAGACTGACTTAGGGGCCTACCATTTGACTTTTGTGGGAGGAGGGGGGGGGGAATTAGTGATTTGCTTTGTGATAGAATTTTTCGACCCTTTTGACCTTTGGTGATAGAATTTTTTTCCCGAAATACAACGGTGTAAGATATTTTCCCGCATTATACTCCATGACAGATTTTATTTCAGCGTAGGATTTTTGTTTCGCCAGGTATTTCCTTGCAAGAATTTTTTTCCTCGAAATCAGTCTGCAGGATATTTTTTTTGTGAAATCACCCATACCCCCCTCAAAAGTCAAACGATCGGCCCCTTAACTCTTTTATTCCTAACGTGAATAATGCAGTCCCATAGGACGCCCATAGAGTGGTTGTAACTTTTGAATTCGTGGATAAAATCCTAGGGTGCTATTATTCAAGTAAAACCTCGCCACTTGTACTTTAACATAGTAATTAAAATATTTGTTGTTCAGCTTTTTACAAAGTGAAATTTGGAATTTTCGTTGAATTTCGACTTTGGCCTCAGGGAATGAAAGGGTTACGAGAATCATCAGAAGAAGGTTGGTACCAGAACGAAAAAACAAAACAAACACAGAACAAAAAACCCAAAAAGTAAATCAGTAAGGCGTTACGTGTCCTTATGCTGGTACGCACTTTCATCAGCGGAAGTTTTATGTGCGAACTAGAAGCCATGATATCAACAAGAGCTTTAGAAAAATAGTTTGATTAGTTACGGAGTTAATTTAGTTTTCTAAAACACTTCTTTTAGTTTGCGGCGACAGGTGTAGTGTGTAAAGTGTGAATTTCCTGGTTTACCTCGGTGTAAGAACCTGTGAACTTTTTCCTTGTTTCGCACCTTTTGTTTTTCTAGGTTCTGCTGTGTTGATTTCTTTGTTTTGTTTTTGTTTTACGTCACCCGTGAGTTTAACAGGTTCTTATACCGAGGATGAGCCGAATTTCGAGCCGTTATCATGTGGCATATATGTGGCAAAAATCAAGAATCTTGTTATAATGATTTAGCTTACGTTATTTTTTAAGAGCTAAGTTATAAATTGTAGAAAACGGGGTTAAATTGACGATATTGTGTTCACCAGACTTGACATTTCTTCTCCGGATTCATCCCTTCACCTGAGGGGCATTTGAAGGCTTCCGAAAACTCCTCAAAATTTGACAGCGAGCCAATGACCCTGTAGAATAACAAAAACAAAAAAATACAATTCAGTTATTTCAGCTCCTTTGACAAGTGAGACCTCATTCATATAAAGAAAACTTGTTCTGGACAGAAGGGTCGCCCTTCTAACTGAGCTACCGTGAGCGAGCCAGCCTTTCCTAGATTTTCTTACAAAACATAGAGAACCGTATGTGAAACAAAACGTTGGTTCAGCTAGGCGAGAAGCCAAGCCGGGTCACCCCTTTTCGATGGAAGGGTCATCTAGCCTGTTCCAGGCTCTCATGTAGTGGGGAAGACGCGAAAGAGAGGGGGACACGTGCGAAAGTGAAAGGTACCCGTTTTAATTTTCATGTTCCCGCCTTCTCAGTCCCCGCGGACCCGACTTTCTTGAAGCCTGGAACAGGCTAAAGGTCATCCTCCTAGTCGGCATAACTTTTCTCCATGTATAAACACTTTGGCTCTCCCAGCCGGGTCAACTTGATCAAGGGCGTGACAATCAGAGCGCGCACGAGCGCTATTGTCAGCCCTTGACTGGAGCAAAAGGGGTCCATTTTTTTAACGCTCGCTTTAGTTGACTTGGCTAGGAGGGTGATTCTTGTTTGCCAGAGAATTCGAGAAATCAACTTAACGTTTGGCAGATATCAGTTTAAAAATTTAGAATCCAGTTAGTCTTTAAAAATAAGACCCTGCCCGTGATCATAAATGACTTACTTGTTAGAGATGAGACCCATAATCATAAACAAGCTACAAGTGTCAAATTTCGAGTAAAACCAGCCCGTAGCTAGCAAGAATGTGAATATGGTGTATGTTAAGTAGTCACCTGTAGTTTGCCAATGTGTGAGTATCTGCCTTGGCCAGATTGTACGCCGCTGATGGTCTGAATGAACTACACCACATCTAAAAGACATGAAATGACCTGGTTATTTAGAGGGTGTAGTGGGAAGTGCACTTTTAAAAAAATGCACTTTATTTGAGAGTCAATGTATTTAGCACGAAAGTACTAACTGAGAACACTATTCTTTCGTCTCCAACTGGAGACGGGACCGACATTTTACGCGGTCATCCGAGCCACGCGAAGATGTAGCCCGGTTTGCAGCGCAAAGGGGTTACCTTCATTTCTCACTAATTTTAAAGCGTTCTACTGACTGAGCTAATCCTGCCGCGGCTGAGCGTACTCGAATCTCATTTATCAGTTCGTTTGCGACGATTTGTCAGCTATCAGGAAAACTGATTTTACTACATTTCCGTATATCAGTTAATTCTTACTGATTTTACAGGGGCACCCAACGAGAATATAGTTCAAAACCACTTAAACATAGCATTATTAAACGTATTGTAGTATTTAAACGGTAGATATANGACGGGACCGACATTTTACGCGGTCATCCGAGCCACGCGAAGATGTAGCCCGGTTTGCAGCGCAAAGGGGTTACCTTCATTTCTCACTAATTTTAAAGCGTTCTACTGACTGAGCTAATCCTGCCGCGGCTGAGCGTACTCGAATCTCATTTATCAGTTCGTTTGCGACGATTTGTCAGCTATCAGGAAAACTGATTTTACTACATTTCCGTATATCAGTTAATTCTTACTGATTTTACAGGGGCACCCAACGAGAATATAGTTCAAAACCACTTAAACATAGCATTATTAAACGTATTGTAGTATTTAAACGGTAGATATAGAGTTATTTTTATCCCCTAAATAGCTGAAAGTCTAGTGATCCGAAAATTGTAGGGATCAAAACTTGCCTTTTCGAAAATTTCAGCCAGAAAAAAAGGCTCCCGAAAATTCTAGGTGACCTTTATAGGGTAAAAATCCGTTAAAAATGGGCAACAATACCATTTTTTAGGTGTTCGAAAATCCTAGGAGAGGCAGGCAAGCAAGAAATTTTACAGCAAATGTTCCGAAAATTCTAGATCTCAAATCGTCTTCCGAACAGATATTTTCCGAAAATTGACGTTGGGTGCCCCTGATTTTAGCCTTCAGGGGAAAAAAGAAAGCTTCCTCTAACACTCAAAATAGTGATCATTTTCAGGTATCGTTTTTAAAGGATAGAAAGGAAAATGAGAAACCATGATTTCAAACACTCTGCCAAATCTCACACTGCTCTTCCCTTATCGAACTGTGCCCTTAGTAGACAGCTGAATGCCACATTCCTAAATTAACCACTTCAGTACTAGACGCTATTATCTCCCTTTTTATCTATTTTTCCCTAATCCAATCCGCAGCCTCTTGAGATTTATCACTCCACTCGTTCAGCCCCAGACTTGCTACAAGTCGACCTCTTGGCGAGCGGAGCGAGCCGTTTTTAGCCGCGAAGAGGCCGACCGAGCGACGAGGTCGCGAGAGGTCACGCCATATTAAATCAGACGAAGGACTTTTCTGAAGGTATAGTTCAGTCCAATCACTAATTTGAATTTACAACTCTCTGTTTACTTACCTGAGCAAAACTGATAAACAGCAGCTGTTCATTTGTTTTGTCGAGACCAGGTAGTAGCGCTTCGTTTCCGCCGTTCTTCTTTAACCAATTCTTATATCCCTGTTTAAAGAAAACACAGTAAGGAATTAGATGGCTCTTTACTTATTGCCCACTATCGTCTAGTGTGACGCTTGGACCAATGTTTCAGGAGGTGAGAATAAGGTTCAATCAAACAGGCGCTAGAATAAAATTATAATTATTGGCATTGTTCATCCCCCTGGCCTGTTCCCCGTTATCAAATTCCAAGAATTCCAAGACGGCATTGGCCATTCTTGAATTGACGAGTCGTCTGGACGAAGTTTAACGTCCTGTAGGTTAAAGTCGTCTGGTTTCAAAACAGGATGCATAAAAGTAAACAACAACACTGAGAAAAACAGTGTTTCCTGTGAAGGCTGCTCTCGACTATTCCTAGTTGCTTCTGGACGAGTTCGGCATAAATGCACCCTAGTTTACGGCATCCCACTTTACTAGATGCACTTAACGTATGAACGACGCACTTAACAGAAGACGCTAGAATCATCAGACGATAAATGCGTACGTCTTATTTACCGGAGGAGGAGCGGGTATTAAAGATTGCCTTGTAGTCCAAAGATTTCTTTCTCTAAAAGGTGTGTTGGAAGAGTATTTTTATGTTTAAATGTCTTCACTACTTTGCAAGTGAATCTAATTCAAAGACCAGTCCAAACCTTGATAGCTCAGTTTCGCGTAAACTTACCCAGTACGCCAGTCTAATGCCACCGTTATCTGCAATATTTTCACTCAATGTGAGCTTTCCGTCGATCTGTTTTAGGACAAAACGGGGTCGAAAATCACGAGAGGAAAATGAAAATTTAATTTAGAATTTCTAAAAATATGATTATTTTCAAAGGTAAATGCTTTTTTTCTTGACAGAGCGAAATGAATCGAACTGGTAACAAACCAGGAACCATACTTTTTCTCATTGCTAACTGACGAATAAACGTTTGAAGCAAGATGTCTTGCTATTAGCCTCTGTAGTTTCCCCTTATTTCTTTTATCCTGCGTAGCAAGCGTTTTCGTGTGGTTTCGGAGCAAAGAGAGACCGAGGCCGAGCGGTCTTTGATCGACTCTCCATCTTCGTTCTTCGCTCAGAAACCGCACGGAAATGCTTGCTACGCAATTCAGTTTATAAATTAAATAGTCCACAACTAAAAGGATTAGTTTCTAAAAAATGCCCGTCAGTGGGGAGAGTGAAACAAACAAACAAAAAATGGTTTTATTTATCAACTTAGTTGTTTTCTTCGCCTTCACTGCACAACTACAACGTGAAACTTTTCAATGTAACGTATTTATAGAGGACCTAAACTCCCGACGACAAATTTTCTTCTATTTTAAAACTTTGATGTGCTCCATAAAAATTCAGCGCCAGGAAAAATCGCATATATTTGACCAATTCAGCCAGCTGAAATAACCTCCATAAATTTTAAAGGAACGCGAATGCTCTCCTCAACATCCTGGCTCCCTATTGACACGTGACTTACATGGGTTTGTCCCTGGTTCCCACCATCCACTGGGTATTTGTTATACTGATCCACCATGCATTGCGCTCTCGTGTTAAAGCCTTGTGACGTATAATTGCTCCACCAGTTTTCAATAATTTCTCCTTCTTTGTTGAAATACCTTCCTGGTGAATCAAAAATTAAACGAGACTTAATTGAAAAAGTCAAGAAGTTTTATTTTCAAAGCAAAGTAGAATTAGGTTTAATAAAGCTAGAAAACTTCGCAAGTAGGGTTACTGGGGTCATTTCAATTAAACTTCAACAAGTGTAATTTTATAAGTGCCTCTATTGTTTTAAGTCTGAAAGCAATAGCAATACTTGTAAAAGCTTCATGAATTGACCCCTAGTGTAGACTGCGAGCAGTCTACCCCTAGTGAGAAACACTATGAAGTTGAAAAAGCACGTCAGCTGCTGGAATAGCTAGGAGTCAGGATACCGTGGGACAAAAATAGGTCTACTAGAGGCGGTGTAGAAATCCCTTCATAAAAAAGCGTTATTGCGGAGTTATTTGCCGGGGACTTAAAACGACTCCTTCACCATAGGGGTATGAAGAGATGCATCCAAACTTGTACATAAAATTCCGTAAGAAATATAAAAGTGCACCAACAAGGCTATACCTGGTTTTGGGCCGGGCACTACAACCATTGAGATACGCTTCATTCTCATTTTTAGGATTTATTTACTTGGGAAATAGGTATCACGGCATTTGGTTTGAAGGTATACATCGGCCTAACCTGCCATCAGGTGACCTTTCGCCGACTTTTGCTCTTTTGGCAGGTTTACACAACAGACAAGATGTGTTGGAAATGAGGCTGTTAAAGACGGTCATGACAGATAGCCGCCTATGGTGACTTGGTGACACTATTCTCTAAAGGGCTCCTAGATTGTATCATTAGGCATTTTACTAACCAGTTGCGTCAAATCCGTGAGATAACTCGTGCGCAAGGACCATTCCAATTGCCCCAAAGTTTACCGCTCTGCAATCGAAAATCAAAATCAGTAAAGTTTAATCTAGTTTTATACAAAACGTTTCATCTTGATAAAGAAATAATTTATCAACTTTTCCATCGAATTTCCTTAGCAAAAACACGGTACATTACAAAAGCAAAGGGATGGAGCAAAGAAAAAGATCATTAAGCCATATACTAACTAAACAGAGGAACGAGTTTATAAAACTTGACCAAACTTTAGTGGCTTCAATTGAAGCTAATCTAACAGAGATAGAAATTTACCAAGATGGAGACCTGTTAATTAAGGGACGTTTTACTAATTACGTGAATAGCAGAGCCTCGCAAGCAAGCAGGGGACGAAGCCTATAGGCAAAAAAATAAATCAATCAATCAATTAATCAACAAACAAAACTTCCAAGTTAAACCTTTAAACTTTTGCGTGCATGAAAACGAAAATCTCCAGTCAGGCGCGTTTTGACCGTTGCTATAAAATACAGCAGTTTTCTTTAAATTGAGGGAAAGATGACAAAGGTACTTTTATGTTAACGTTGCAAATGCACTGATGATGCAAAATGTCCTACCTTGGTGCTTTTCTACCATAATAAAAAGGAGGCTGCAGGATTCCCGCCAGAATGTCTAACAGAACAAACAACCCACATTCAATACCTAGACCGCCTATTAGACTGCACTGTTTCGTTAACATTAATTATAACTAACTTAACTATTTTTTATTTATTTGTAGCTACAGTAGGTAATTTATAGTTGACATAGGGTCAAAAACAGCTACAGTACTGAAATATTGTCCCAGAAACAAAACGACTTGCTTTAATTTACCAGACATGTTTTGACGGTGCATCCGCCATCTACAGTGTTACATATTGTTGTGAAGTATCTGGTAGGTTGTTTTGAAGGTTTGTCTTTTGCTGTATTTAGTTGTGAGAGATACCATGAGCGATGCCAGGGTTCTCCACCAATAATATGTTGGGGTTGATTGTACGAGCAACTCGCTTGCTTAGCAAAGACTCACCATGAATCTAGGATCACAACTTTTGAGTACTTTATTCATTATTTGTTCTTCTACACACCTCTTATTAAACTGCTCCAAATTAACCTCTAACTGAGCCAAATATTGACAACTTAAATAACTGAAATGCAGGTGCTTTTGGGCTTACTACTGAAAGCACTTCCTGTAGATCACCAAAGTGGATTAAAACAAACCTACACGGCTAAACATGCCAAGTGTAATTAACCAATGTACACTTGACAATAGGACTTCAGTCTCATGTAGGAAACAACCTACAAGGTCAGTAGCCTGCGGAAACATCCGTCTCTCCACGCTCTTCGCCGCTGGGAACGTTCCGCGCGAAACGTCCCAGCGGCGAAGAGCGCGGAGAAACGGATGTTTTCGCAGGCTACAAGGTCAGCTGTGAGCAACTATAATCCCAAGTGTGTCTACCTTAAGGACCAACACTCGAATTTAAAACCACAAGATAAATAACACTTACATTGACAAACTCATTAAAAAGAAAATAATAATAAAAAACCTGTCAACAAAAATACGGAGTACTCTTAAGATCTACAAACAAGCACGTTCAAATACAAACATGAAATAAACTAAACACCACATAACACAAATCTTCAAAACAACCCACAAAATACTTCACATTAATATGTGGAAATCATCTTGGATATAAATCGTGCACAATGCTACAAAGTTCGTTATTATTCATTCAAAATATTTCGCCGTTTCTGATTGGCTGCAATCCCCTGGCTAATTCTTCATAACCAACTGGTGCTTACCATATTTGGAAGACACCACACTTTCTATGGGTTTACTGGCGTGCGAACCCACACGATCTCGAATCACTCCTTTGAGCAGGAAGTTCGAGACTCTGAATTCTACAGATGCCTAAAAACATGCGAAGACGGCTGTCCGAAATAGGTGCTCGCGCCTCGTGGTTCTACCAACATAACAAGCTTAAAACTTAAACACAAGAATTTATACAACACTCGCGTGCAAAAGCCCTCAGGGAGAGTACGTTTTACGTTAAAAAGGTTCAATAGCTGACATAACTAAAAAACATAGAAATTTTTCTTACTTATTTCATTTGTGTTTGGTAAGTAAAAAGCATTGACCAGCTGAGGTCCAGTAAACCATCTGTAAGGAGTTAATAGAAATAAGGGTACATTACTTACATTACATTAGTTATATGGCTGGTTGGCTGTCTATTTTTAGATACCTTTGTTTGATACACGGAGTTGTATTTTGTGGGAACTTTTCAGTTAATTCAACATGCCCAAATTTTAAAGTTTGGTTTTCCTCTATACTCATAGTACAATCTGGTCTGGAAAATCGTATTCCGCGTACTTACAGAATGGTCAAAGGCCGGTAAGAAACGTGTCTTAAAAAACTCTTCCTGATTAAGCTCACAACGGGTGTAAAAAATGATATTTTTTGGTTTGAAATAGGGTCAGGATTTGGACAACGGTGTCGTACATCCCTCCCCCCACCAAGAATTGCCATGAGTACCCCCTGGGCGTAATTTGACAGTTGACAAAAAGAAAAAAGACTTCTTGTACTCGGCATCTTACTTACTTTTCTTTATCCACCGGGGTCTTGAGAGTTGAGAGAAATGACCTTGTTTGCCATTTCATCACATCCAAGGCATTCACAAGGTAATTGTCAGTACTAATGTTCAGCTAAAATTAAATTGAAAATTAAATTACTGTTGATTAACTCTCCTTTTCTGGCTATTCTGGGTATCAAAGTCATGCGTTTCAAATGCTAACTGTGCGCTCTTTGAATTGTGATCAGTTTTATAGAACTATCACTTAACATTTTATGTCCTTCAAACAGGTTATCAACCCTACTCCCATCTCCTAGGACGATAGCTTACTCGCGGGAAGTTGAGTTTCTTGGCTTTTTTGTAAAAGGAAAAAATGGGGTTGCCCAAGAGGTGATAAAATCTAGAAAAATCAGTGCCTGTAATTTAGCTTTATCGAGTTGTCCAGAAAAATATTACGCATGAAATCAATATATAGCGGATGGAAACTCGGATTGTCGGAAATTAAGCTAAGGTGCTTTATCATTTGACTGAGGCAGACTAAACTTTTTATCTTTTTTTAAAAATTCAAACGTTGAAGGCTTTCTGACATAAAATTTGCTTGGTTAGTGAAGACGTCTCGAATTTTTAGAATTAATCCCACGGGGCTACAATCGCGTAGCTTCGCGCAAAGTATTTAAGGACAGTTTGTGTGCCTATCTCTCGGACGCACCCATTCTCGGACTGTACGCATTAATGTTTCGTATATTCGTCCTAGACTTTAACTAAAACCGGACAGGTAGTCTCCGTTGAGTTATTGGTTAGTCTACTTTCGCTAATTCTTTTTGGGACAGGTCTCGTTGCGGTTTAGGCTGGAAAATTTGAAGATCTTGTGAAGGTAGGTAAAATGTGTTTCTTCACACATTGAATTTAATACATCGTTCCAGTTTGCACCTCGTTCTAGCCAAATATTCAACAGAAATAACTACATTTTGGAGAAAGTTCAGCAAAAAGGAACAAGGTCTGCTTCCAAGTAAGAATTATGAGTTAACTGTTTCACATTTTTGACCAAGAACACGGGAAGAACTTGGTATGTTTTTTCGAGGTATGCCTCATGATTCCTCGGACAGCGCGAAAGCCAGACACATATTCAAGTTCAACAACAGTTTCGTAAAAGAAGAAAATTATTTTTCCCAGCTGCTCCTAGCTGAAACTTACCTTGTTTGACACCCAGCCGTTGGGATTAACTTAAATGTGCAATTTCTAAAATGGCAAAATATTTAAAATCGCTTGTTTGTTTATTGTTTGTTTGTTTAAGCGCACTAATTTTGCGATGAATACTCGAGGATGGACTCACTAAAACCGACTTTAAAATGTTTTTTAACTCAGGAAAAGGCATTGTTTACTTGCAATGTTACTCCTCTTTTCTTCAACGAGACGTTTTTTTAACACGATGCTCAGGATTAGTCGTGTACGAAGGAACATCCGAGAATAGGGATTACCTGTCCGAGAATAGGCCGCTCAGCTTTAACGATATTTTTACAAAATTACGGAGAAACCTTTGGCGTTCAACCAACCAGTCTTTAGGTGATTTAACGAAGGATTTAACGAAGGAAGAAACTACACTGGGAAAGTATCAGCTTGCTCAAACCTTTCTGAGGTAAGTTATTGTGATAACTGCAAAACATGTCCGCAAAAAGGAAGATATACTGGATATTTTGCTCCTTTTCAACTAATTCCAAATAAATTTCCAACTTACGTTCTCGTAAAAACGGTTGAGTAACGTTTCATTGGCACAGAGCTCTGGAAAACCAATTTTGTTTTTCATCGCGATTTCCTTCAGAGAGAAAATAAGTGCCTGTCAGTTAGAATCCTCTCCCTTTCTTCTTGAGGACTTAACCCAAACTGTACCTGCAATGATTATTCCCCTTATAATAATATATAGATTTAGCCAGGGCAAAAAGCGAAGCTCTGGTTAATAATACGTGTAAACCAAAAAAATTAAATCGCGTAATGCTAAACGGGGACGGCAATGAAAATGGCTTCAAGACTAATAGATCTAATTAACAACCAAAAAAAAACAAAGCAAAACAAAACAAATAGCACGTGTAGCACACATTTGCACGTGCAGCACGCTGTTTTGTCTTTCCCTTGCCGTTGTTTTGCACGACTACAACGCTGTTTTGTACTACTAAAACGTCAAACTTCCTAGTTACACATTATTTTTATGGGGGAATTGTCGTATGTGCTTACCCAATATTTTGTTTCTGTGTTCATGTTCGCTTTTATTTTTCACTGCCGCTCATTTTCACCTTGCTGACCGCTAAAATTTTCTCACCGCCTCTTTGAATTTCCATGTTTTGCTTCCTACGAAATTCGTCTCCTTTGTTTTCAATAACTCGCTCTAGCTCTTTCTATGTTATCTACGTTAGTGTAAACATAAAAAATAACGCCGAAAAAGACACGACTTTGTTGTTGTTTTCTCTTTCTAAAAGTCCAGGCGGCCATGTGATTTCCTTCCAAATAAAACCTTGAGTTGCATTTGGGTTCGGCGAAGAGCGCGGAGAAACGGATGTTTTCGCAGGCTACAAGGTCAGCTGCGAGCAACTATAATTCCAAGTGTGTCCACCTTAAGGACCAACACTCGAATTTAAAACCACAAGATAAATATCACTTATAGTGACAAACTCATTAAAAAGAAAATAATAATAAAAAACCTGTCAACAAAAATACGGAGTACTCTTAAGATCTACAAACAAGCACGTTCAAATACAAACATGAAATAAACTAAACACCACATAACACAAATCTTCAAAACAACCCACAAAATACTTCACATTAATATGTGGAAATCATCTTGGATATAAATCGTGCACAATGCTACAAAGTTCGTTATTATTCATTCAAAATATTTCGCCGTTTCTGATTGGCTGCAATCCCCTGGCTAATTCTTCATAACCAACTGGTGCTTACCATATTTGGAAGACACCACACTTTCTATGGGTTTACTGGCGTGCGAACCCACACGATCTCGAATCACTCCTTTGAGCAGGAAGTTCGAGACTCTGAATTCTACAGATGCCTAAAAACATGCGAAGACGGCTGTCCGAAATAGGTGCTCGCGCCTCGTGGTTCTACCAACATAACAAGCTTAAAACTTAAACACAAGAATTTATACAACACTCGCGTGCAAAAGCCCTCAGGGAGAGTACGTTTTACGTTAAAAAGGTTCAATAGCTGACATAACTAAAAAACATAGAAATTTTTCTTACTTATTTCATTTGTGTTTGGTAAGTAAAAAGCATTGACCAGCTGAGGTCCAGTAAACCATCTGTAAGGAGTTAATAGAAATAAGGGTACATTACTTACATTACATTAGTTATATGGCTGGTTGGCTGTCTATTTTTAGATACCTTTGTTTGATACACGGAGTTGTATTTTGTGGGAACTTTTCAGTTAATTCAACATGCCCAAATTTTAAAGTTTGGTTTTCCTCTATACTCATAGTACAATCTGGTCTGGAAAATCGTATTCCGCGTACTTACAGAATGGTCAAAGGCCGGTAAGAAACGTGTCTTAAAAAACTCTTCCTGATTAAGCTCACAACGGGTGTAAAAAATGATATTTTTTGGTTTGAAATAGGGTCAGGATTTGGACAACGGTGTCGTACATCCCTCCCCCCACCAAGAATTGCCATGAGTACCCCCTGGGCGTAATTTGACAGTTGACAAAAAGAAAAAAGACTTCTTGTACTCGGCATCTTACTTACTTTTCTTTATCCACCGGGGTCTTGAGAGTTGAGAGAAATGACCTTGTTTGCCATTTCATCACATCCAAGGCATTCACAAGGTAATTGTCAGTACTAATGTTCAGCTAAAATTAAATTGAAAATTAAATTACTGTTGATTAACTCTCCTTTTCTGGCTATTCTGGGTATCAAAGTCATGCGTTTCAAATGCTAACTGTGCGCTCTTTGAATTGTGATCAGTTTTATAGAACTATCACTTAACATTTTATGTCCTTCAAACAGGTTATCAACCCTACTCCCATCTCCTAGGACGATAGCTTACTCGCGGGAAGTTGAGTTTCTTGGCTTTTTTGTAAAAGGAAAAAATGGGGTTGCCCAAGAGGTGATAAAATCTAGAAAAATCAGTGCCTGTAATTTAGCTTTATCGAGTTGTCCAGAAAAATATTACGCATGAAATCAATATATAGCGGATGGAAACTCGGATTGTCGGAAATTAAGCTAAGGTGCTTTATCATTTGACTGAGGCAGACTAAACTTTTTATCTTTTTTTAAAAATTCAAACGTTGAAGGCTTTCTGACATAAAATTTGCTTGGTTAGTGAAGACGTCTCGAATTTTTAGAATTAATCCCACGGGGCTACAATCGCGTAGCTTCGCGCAAAGTATTTAAGGACAGTTTGTGTGCCTATCTCTCGGACGCACCCATTCTCGGACTGTACGCATTAATGTTTCGTATATTCGTCCTAGACTTTAACTAAAACCGGACAGGTAGTCTCCGTTGAGTTATTGGTTAGTCTACTTTCGCTAATTCTTTTTGGGACAGGTCTCGTTGCGGTTTAGGCTGGAAAATTTGAAGATCTTGTGAAGGTAGGTAAAATGTGTTTCTTCACACATTGAATTTAATACATCGTTCCAGTTTGCACCTCGTTCTAGCCAAATATTCAACAGAAATAACTACATTTTGGAGAAAGTTCAGCAAAAAGGAACAAGGTCTGCTTCCAAGTAAGAATTATGAGTTAACTGTTTCACATTTTTGACCAAGAACACGGGAAGAACTTGGTATGTTTTTTCGAGGTATGCCTCATGATTCCTCGGACAGCGCGAAAGCCAGACACATATTCAAGTTCAACAACAGTTTCGTAAAAGAAGAAAATTATTTTTCCCAGCTGCTCCTAGCTGAAACTTACCTTGTTTGACACCCAGCCGTTGGGATTAACTTAAATGTGCAATTTCTAAAATGGCAAAATATTTAAAATCGCTTGTTTGTTTATTGTTTGTTTGTTTAAGCGCACTAATTTTGCGATGAATACTCGAGGATGGACTCACTAAAACCGACTTTAAAATGTTTTTTAACTCAGGAAAAGGCATTGTTTACTTGCAATGTTACTCCTCTTTTCTTCAACGAGACGTTTTTTTAACACGATGCTCAGGATTAGTCGTGTACGAAGGAACATCCGAGAATAGGGATTACCTGTCCGAGAATAGGCCGCTCAGCTTTAACGATATTTTTACAAAATTACGGAGAAACCTTTGGCGTTCAACCAACCAGTCTTTAGGTGATTTAACGAAGGATTTAACGAAGGAAGAAACTACACTGGGAAAGTATCAGCTTGCTCAAACCTTTCTGAGGTAAGTTATTGTGATAACTGCAAAACATGTCCGCAAAAAGGAAGATATACTGGATATTTTGCTCCTTTTCAACTAATTCCAAATAAATTTCCAACTTACGTTCTCGTAAAAACGGTTGAGTAACGTTTCATTGGCACAGAGCTCTGGAAAACCAATTTTGTTTTTCATCGCGATTTCCTTCAGAGAGAAAATAAGTGCCTGTCAGTTAGAATCCTCTCCCTTTCTTCTTGAGGACTTAACCCAAACTGTACCTGCAATGATTATTCCCCTTATAATAATATATAGATTTAGCCAGGGCAAAAAGCGAAGCTCTGGTTAATAATACGTGTAAACCAAAAAAATTAAATCGCGTAATGCTAAACGGGGACGGCAATGAAAATGGCTTCAAGACTAATAGATCTAATTAACAACCAAAAAAAAACAAAGCAAAACAAAACAAATAGCACGTGTAGCACACATTTGCACGTGCAGCACGCTGTTTTGTCTTTCCCTTGCCGTTGTTTTGCACGACTACAACGCTGTTTTGTACTACTAAAACGTCAAACTTCCTAGTTACACATTATTTTTATGGGGGAATTGTCGTATGTGCTTACCCAATATTTTGTTTCTGTGTTCATGTTCGCTTTTATTTTTCACTGCCGCTCATTTTCACCTTGCTGACCGCTAAAATTTTCTCACCGCCTCTTTGAATTTCCATGTTTTGCTTCCTACGAAATTCGTCTCCTTTGTTTTCAATAACTCGCTCTAGCTCTTTCTATGTTATCTACGTTAGTGTAAACATAAAAAATAACGCCGAAAAAGACACGACTTTGTTGTTGTTTTCTCTTTCTAAAAGTCCAGGCGGCCATGTGATTTCCTTCCAAATAAAACCTTGAGTTGCATTTGGGTTGCCATACCTGTTGATTGGGTTATTTTACATTGGTATGCCTGTGGTGCGGACGGACGGTCGCTCGCTCGCTCGCTCGCTCGCTCGCTCGGTGTAAGGTCACTTGATTACCAAATTTTCTCGAATGGGTAGATTACCACTTTTCCTTAGCTATGGGGCTCCGCAGCATCGCGCGTGGAGCTCCGCTATCACAGGGGACAAATTGCTCCTTAATTCTGTGGCGACATTTTAACGTGGATTTATCATTTTGTAATTACACAATTGGTATGGCAACGTTCCGTGCCAAGATGGCGTCAAGGTTTAGGGTATAACCAATACGCTAATTATTTAGAATAAGTTTTGAAAGTGTATTAAATAAAGAAGTCACAAGTGTTTGATCACTGAAGCTGGTGTTGATTGGTGCCAACATCTTTATTTTGAGAAAAGATAACTATATTGCTCAATTTTTTTGCACATCCTTGCACATCCTTTAGAAATACCTTATGGAAGATGAAATTTAATTAAATAGAACAAAAACGACCGGGATGGACACATTATAGACTTTCAAAAAAGTCGTTTGTCCAATTTAATAGTGGCCACCTCTCGCGCGCTTGGCCGGCCCTGCTTCGCAGCCTAGAAAGCTTGACCCACTCGCCTTAACTCGTGAGGTCTACTAATGGCAAGTCTAGACACATCTCTTAAAGGATAAATGTTAACTAGATCAAACCTTTTCGACAATTTTTTTCCGTGTCTGCTCATCTATCCACTCATAACGTTTCGTTTCCTCTTTAAATGCTGCCCTGATATTTGTCATCATCTCTTGGATCTGTTACAAAACAACAGCAGTCAGCGAATATGCTTTGCAAGTCCCCCAAAATTGACGTCAATGTAAAAAAAGAGTTCAGTTCCTTTTCTAAAAAGTGCAGGGATAGTTTAAATGTGTCAGAGATAGGGTAAGAATACACTGTGTCGGCTATTCCTGCTTTGGAATATCTCCCGCGTACTGCTTTTTTCAGTATAAACTTTTTTCCCCCAATCTTTGTAATCGTGTTTTTAAAAAATAGGAGTTTTTAAAATCCGGTTTTTAAACTTCAGTTTTGAAATTTTCTTTAGAACTATTTTAAGGTTAATTCTTTTTATAACAGCGGCTTGAGACATAATTAGATGAAACGCACTATTTGGATATTGAGAAAATAATCTCAATAGGACATTTCACCATCGTGCCACGGCGGCCTTCCTTTTAGAGATGAGGCCTTCAATCCCAAAACTATTCAGTGTATACACTAAGGCCCGTTTCAAACGTCGTGCTACTGCCGTGCCGAACTCAATTGCTCGAATTAAATTCGACTTTAGCAAGGCAGTAGCGCGACGTTTGAAACATTTAAAAGTTTGCTAAACCGTTTCTATATTTTTGTGTTTTGTTTTCGGCAACAGCCGTTCTATTCGACTGAATTAAATTCGACGTCTGAAACCAAGTCGTGCCAGTGTCGTGCTACAGTCGAGCTACAGTCAAGCCAGCTTGGCACGGCAGTAGCACGACGTTTGAAACAGGCCTAACATGTTTGCCGCGACGTCATGCGTCATGGTATTGTAATGCACTCCTTTTAAGACAGAGAATGAGGAAAATGTAAAAAGGAAAAAGAAACTTATCTTCAGTTTAATAAATACATCTATAAATATATCAACATTTGCCATCGCGAAAGCGGAAGTTGATCGGATTCAAATCAACAGCGACAAGGAATACTCACAAATGGTATAATGTCTTTGTCGAACACGTTTTTTATCCACATGTAACCCACTGCGAATGTGAGACCATGGTAATAACTGTTCAGTTCTTCTATACAATGTAACCAGCGAGGCTTGGCCGTCTTTGTTCCTTGGATTTCTTTGTCATATTCTAGCAGAGCCTCGCGGTAGTCACGTGACAAGTAGGGAACAAAATAGCGCACAAGGGTCCACATCATGTAGTTCGACAGGGTCCTAGGGAGTTGAAATATCGAGGTTTCTTGGAAACTGCCCACCCACCCCTCCCCCAAGCCGACATTTTGCCTTAAGTGAGAAGTAAATGACAATGTTGGCTTAGGGGAGGGGTAGGTCGGCAGTTTCCCAAAAACATAAATTGATCCGGATTTGTTACTGAATTGGTGACTGCATGCCACGCGTTCATAATTGACCGTTTTAAAGTTGAGAGACTGGGTCAGTGTTGTGTCGAATTGCACTGTGGGATTGTTTTGAGGACGCTTTATCAGGCATTTTGATTGGCTATTAACGAAGTTGCGCAGGAAACTGCAACAAAATTCTTTCTCCAAAAGAGTCCCACAGTGCAGTTCGACTCCTCACCGACCCAGTCTCCGTGCGGAATTTTAAAATGGCCAAAAGAAATACTGGCTATTGNATAACTGTTCAGTTCTTCTATACAATGTAACCAGCGAGGCTTGGCCGTCTTTGTTCCTTGGATTTCTTTGTCATATTCTAGCAGAGCCTCGCGGTAGTCACGTGACAAGTAGGGAACAAAATAGCGCACAAGGGTCCACATCATGTAGTTCGACAGGGTCCTAGGGAGTTGAAATATCGAGGTTTCTTGGAAACTGCCCACCCACCCCTCCCCCAAGCCGACATTTTGCCTTAAGTGAGAAGTAAATGACAATGTTGGCTTAGGGGAGGGGTAGGTCGGCAGTTTCCCAAAAACATAAATTGATCCGGATTTGTTACTGAATTGGTGACTGCATGCCACGCGTTCATAATTGACCGTTTTAAAGTTGAGAGACTGGGTCAGTGTTGTGTCGAATTGCACTGTGGGATTGTTTTGAGGACGCTTTATCAGGCATTTTGATTGGCTATTAACGAAGTTGCGCAGGAAACTGCAACAAAATTCTTTCTCCAAAAGAGTCCCACAGTGCAGTTCGACTCCTCACCGACCCAGTCTCCGTGCGGAATTTTAAAATGGCCAAAAGAAATACTGGCTATTGATAGGAAGTCTGATTCCTGAGAATGGTGTTTATACAAATGCAACTATCTTAAAAATAGGTGCCTATTCTGCAAAGTAGTGTAGTTTTGATGCTGAGTAACAAAGCGTTTACCAGCGACAACTTGAAAACGTGATAAATACTTGTTGCCATTTTCAATTGATTGTTGTTAGACCAAACCAGGTCGCTGACTTGTCAGTCCAATCAGAATTCTAAGCAAGTAGCTGGGTGCGTGTAAATTAATTCTGTTTCCACGAAATGGTCGGTTGAACGAGCGGAGGAAGGTTTTGTCGCCGTTCACAGTCCTGAACAACTCAAAGTAGGACAATTGCAACAATTTATTCGCGTATGGAAGCGTAAGAGATTATTGTGGTCATTCGTCAAAGAACATCCATTTAGGAAATAAAACTCCTCTAACCTCTTATCTGTACCGTTAATTACGTAGGACAAATTCCGTAGATACTCCGAGGAGGGCACGATTACTTGATCTGAGGCGTTTATCCACAAATTAAAAGGTCGCAGTAGGTCGTTAAAATACCCTTCCCACGTGAACTGAAAAACAAAGGCGAGGATAGATTAAAGCAGACTTCAGCAGTTTGCAAGTTATGGCTGTTGAAAACTGAAATATGGCACTCTACTTGCTGTGAACTGTTCTTAAGATTCCAGCAACCCTTTACATCGCAAAGTGACAAATAGAGATCAATAAAACTATTTACAAGTGATGAATTGTAGCTAGTGGAACACTTTAGCTTTTAGGTTATTTGGCAGTGGCACTCAGCAATTATGCTGGGGGAACGGAAAAAGGGAAAGAAAGATCAAAATAATTATTGTGCACTGTTTGAAGATCAAGTACGGAAATTTTACAGAAACTTGAAAAGCGGGAGCTACAAAGCCTTTTATTCTTGTGTTTGCAGGAGTTAAAAATCTGATACTGCCATATTTTTATCCAATTCAAAACCAGCGTTTTTTCATAAAAGAAAATTTCATGTATGAATATATGGGGCCAGAACGCTATCATATCAGGAATTTAAACTCAGTTAAAGGCCATCCTTATTCTTTCCTAAACTCACTGAAAACTTTATTATTTAGGACATACTAAATAACTACGTACCCCAGTGACACCCGGAGCCTTGCTTTCAAGGTCAGAGATGTTCATGGTCTTATACATATTGGCATATAACTCGCGTTTTGGAGGAGTGATCTGCAACACAAGAGAAGATACACAGTTGCTACGATTTTTCCATGCCCTTCTGCTTTGATTATAATACACAGTCACTGGGATTTTCCTTTGTTACTTTATATTTATTACAAATTTTTTCATCAGGTTCTGGAAGGGGACGTCCTTATCCCGCTTTAACCTCCTTTTTCACTACAATCCCCCGTCCCTAACTTCTGTCATATGTATCTCTTTCCCGAATAACGTTTTCTTTCCCAGTACCTCATCCCGTGCCAAGATTTGGGGGCATCCCGCTTCCACAAAAGCTGTAAAATCCCTTATCCGTCAAAACATTTAGCTCGAAACCAAAATCTCAGTCGCTCTCGAATCGGCTAGAACGCGCCTGGGTACGAGGCAGGGAAGCTAAGGTCACTATATTAGGTACATCAACAAAACTACGTTCGTGTTCCTGTGGGCGAGGGGACGGTAGGTCTGGCCGGAGGAGATCGGTAAGGGCTCCATGATACTGTTTAGGTAAGAACTGGCATGTCATCCATTAAATCAGGCTAGATTCCAGGGGTTCTGCTAAATTTCATAGTAACTGAAAACAGCTGAAAAAAGGCTCTCCGAGCTATGCCTGTTCCCGCAATACAAGATAAATTTAATTGGAAATATAGTTATTCAAAGGCAAAGACATACATGCACTTTTAGTTCAGGTAGACCATCAGAGCAATGAGACATCATCCCACGATCAATACAAAATCATTTTACGGTATTCTTTGATTTCAATATGATCTTAGGCTTTTTTGAAGTATTGCCAGAAAATCGTGAGCCCGCTTTCTCAACTTGGTTTCGCTATCTTAGCAGTCGCACTGTGTTTTAGCAGTCAAACAAATGTTATCATTACTCACCTTTCGGTCGAGGAAAAGGTCGAGGTAATGCAGGAGGTAAACGACGGAGCACAACAAAGGTGGAGGGTCATTAAGAGGTTGAAAGCAGTACATAAAGTTCATCCGGTTGGAACAGACTAATTGTTTTGCATGCATTTTTAGGAATTAAAAAAAAGAACAATTTCATCCCGTTTTAAGCATCTTTGTCAATTTTGTCCAACCTTTCTTTTGTACTGCTGTAATTATTACAACTGTACCTCGCTGTTTGAAGCAGTTATTCTTTTACAGTTAGGAAGGTTTAGTAGTCTCCGATCAAGCTCTCCATTTGGGGGGAGTCGCGCGTTCTATCGCGGCTCGCTTCTCTCACCAGCAATGAAGAACTTGCCCACAGGCTGGGAACTTTTCGGCCACTCTGATTGGCTAAATTTGGCTAAATCGCGCTCAACAGCTGCGTAAGTTGAGAAAATAATAAAAGTATTCATACCCTGCCCTCTTGTGTTACTTTAAGGTGGTTTTTAAATACAGTGAAACCTCTATTAAGAGGACCCCCAATTAAGCGGACACCCTCTATTAAGCGGATGCTAAGCCGGGGCCCGAAATTAACGCGTTATGTTTCCCTTTATTACGACCCCCTATTCAGCGGACGCGAACACTAAAATAAAATTGTATTTGGCGACGCAGTCGCGAGAGGGCCATATGAAATCCGACTAAGGACTTTTTTGAAAGTCTACGGACTGAATTGACTATAGTAGTATTGGATTACGTCCTTGAAATACGTTTTGTAGTCGATTAATAAAGATAAATCAATACATTTAGGTGTCAATAAACTGTAGATTAGAACGAAAGTCTTGCTCAAACTACAACACAGCTTCCTTAGCTTCCTTAACAACATGGATCTTTATCACAGTACAGGATAACCGTTGAAAGTTTATCGTTAACAAACATTGCGCAATCTTTACAAACCTCTATTAAGCGGACACTTGGGAAGGTTCTGAATTTAATTTGGCATTGGATGACGACAGTTTTTGATTGGTCAAATTGTCTGGTGACACTTTTGAACCAATTAGACTGCTAATTTTAAATTCGATTGCAATGGCCCGTCCCTGTTTCCCCACACTTGGCGTTAAGTATAATTCTACCTTGTTGTCCGTTGCAAAGTACTGATCACGAAGCAGACTCAGACTTGGAGGGCTAACCTACAAAATGAAAAACATCGACATTTAATGGAATAGTAAAATATTGAATTATTAAAAGATGCATGACCTTACTGAATTGAGCCGCAAATCTGGGGGCACTGCTCTTTTGAGTACACATGTCTATTAAGTAGAAAAGACAACTTTTTTTAGGCTGCGGATACTGAGCCGTTTCTCCTCGCTCCTGGGAAGTGTCTTGAGCGTCGAAGAGCGATGAGAGACGGCTGTTCAGTACAAGATGATGCCAGTTTTTCCTGGTTGCTGCTCAATAGATTTCGCGCGCAGTGACTGTTTTGTCTACCTTGATCAGCAAGAATAACAGAGTCTAAAGCCCGGCTCTACTTCCGGCCATATGCGGTTGCAAATCAGTGCGTCGAAAGGTTTTTTTTAACATAGAAAGTCAAAAAACAAAGCTGGAAGATTAAGATAACTGATCTATTGATCTGGTTGGTTCTTGAAGCCTTATTGAATTTTGGGAAATGCGCGAACAATTTCGTGGATTAAAGTGTTCCCGGGAATGTGCCTTAATTGATTTAGAAGTAACAGCTAATTTTAATTGTCAACAGCTGAACACTGAAAGATTGAAAGTCTTCGATAGAACTGGTTTAGCGTACGCGTCTCCAGTGCGAGTTCGTAGTGTGCTGTTTATTAGTGAAGGGTGCCGAAAACGACGGCTTCAAAATTGAGGTTGACGTTCTGTTTCCATATGTACAGAAAATGGTAACTAACAATAGTCAAGGTCATTCTGCTATGACACCTTTTTTCAGGCCATGAATACTGTCGTCGGGGAAGCTTCGACTGGGGTGGTCTGTCTAAAAAAACAAAAATGACTTTCCGAGAGAACTAACCCAGTCTAGTAAAGTGTAATATTGGTCTTCCTTTGGACGGAACAGGAAAGGCAACCCAAAGAACTAGTAAGTCATCCTTACCAACGTCAACCTGCTACCAGGAGGTCTTTTTTGAAGACAGTGGGAAAGAAACATATCAGGGAGAAAATGATAGCAGCCTATGTCAACATCTCCGGAACAAACAACAATTTTAATAGAAATATTTAAAGGGACAATTTAATTAAACAAGCGAGTGCAAGTGTCACGAACCTAGCAGTAGACATAACAACTCAAACCAGCCAACTAGTCTTATGGGTGTGTCAATGTCATAAGAACGTCAAAATTGGTCGGTAATTTGATCATTTGTTTTTGTAGTACGTGGTGTAACGACCAACTAGCACACTAAAGTATTGAACCATCAGCGGTAGTATTGAACCTGTCCATTTGAGTACCAAAAAAACCATGAAACTCTTAGTGGTAAGCCGTTCAATAACTAACGGAGAATGTCAAAAAATACAACTTGCCTATTTAGGAAACAGACTTGAAACTCTATTCATGATAATTGAACTTCCCACCTAGTGGCTATGTTGAATTATTTCCCATCTCAGACTACACTAGTGTCCAAATAAAATAAGGCTGATTTTGCTCTGTAAAATTTCATAGTGTAACATGCCTCTTGAGGAGTACTAAGTTGTGTCATGGAGTTTGGTGAACACGCCCACTAATTTGAACGATTTCGTCTGGTCATCTCCGTTTAAAATCAGATTAAACTAAGCGATGAACAATGAAAGTCCGTCCGTGTACTTAAAAGATCCCGTCTGTATTATAATATTTTCAGCGTGAATGCTTGGAATTTGCGCAGGATCAAATTTTGGGTAGACTTAAAAAGCCACAAGTTTAGCAATCTGGACCAGACATTTAATTTGGGGGTTCATTAACTATATCTTTAATAAAATGCACCTGTAAATTGTTGGCTTCTCTTCAACTTGATTACTCTCCTTGTGGATTAGTTGCCTTATCTCTCGTAATATGTAGCAAAAACAACTCAAAAGACCTTGGTTATCTTTATAACATTTTAACTCAAGTTATTGCGACATTGGGTTGCCTCGGGCTACATACGTCGTCACCCAGATACGAAATAATAATTGACGCAGTTCAAGAAACTGAAATTAACTAATGGCAAAACTCTTTACAAAATATAACGTTAACTGTTTATTTTTAACTTTTGTTACCTTTAGACTCATTCTTGAAGAGTTGTAAGGGTTTGCAGAAGTGTAAAGTTTGAAGAGGGGAGAAATGGCGAAGACGTCGCTGTGAATCTTCCGTAAAGTATCAATGTAACTCCATCTTGACTCATTCCATGTGCCATTGTCTAATGACCAGGATCCAAATCGATAAATAAGACGCTTTAACTCGATTGTCCCATTGTTATTGCTGTCATCCTCGTTCATGCAGGATTTGAAGTAGACTCTTGCCTTTGATACAGCGTTTTCTTTAGGACCACTAGCATCCTCCAGCAACAAAAACAGAATCTGCTCGTTGACTTGTTTTCTTAGTACAGCAAAAGTAGATATCCTGTCTTCGGAGGATGGGATTGGATTGTTTTTGATCCAAGAGCCGCAGGAATATTGAAAAAAATCTTGACATGGATTCACGGTCTCGTTCATACTCTTTTGTAATTTGGATGCAACTTCCAGACAGGTTTCGGAGCTGCACCGCTGAGCACTTTTTGGACAAGTTACTCCATCCCTTTCTCCTCCATTTTTGTCTTCCTTGCGAATGCTCAAGACCAGGAAAACTGAGAGCACAATGCAAGCGGCCAGCAGAACAAAGCAGAGGGTTATAAGCACCAAACGCATTCGCTTGTTGTTCTTGAACAGTGCAGTACTGCTGCTAGTCGAAGTGAGACCCAACGTTTGAGTGCTGCCTGCAATCCCAAACTGGCTGCCGCCGTTTTCAATTGTATGTGACTCCATGGAGAGTGAATCAACCTGGTTTGATAACGCTCCGTGTCGAAGGTACCAGTTGTGATCACAGATTTGCTATCACTAAGCTTCTGATCTCGTTATGTGTGTAATATTAGTTTGAGCAGCCTACTGTCAAACCCCCATCAATATTTTGACATGTGATATTATTGTTTCAGGTCTTTCAGAGTAGCATTATTTACAATCCGCATTCTCTTGTTACAGAAGGAAGACCTATATTTTGCTTTCATCCTCCCCTCTCCACCCAAAAAGGAAATCCATTTTGTTAACTAAGAAACAATATATTTTCGGAACACGCCTACTCAGGTAAAATATTCAAGACAGTTGAGAAATGTGGTGTCAGCCTCGTCTGTGCTTCTAAAAACCGAAAATCTACATGCGTTGTTTGTTTAATTGTGGGAATGCTAAGTGGAGGACGATTATTTGAGTCTGACATGCATAAGTAAAGATCAAACAAAGCAATTTTTTTTTCGTAAGGAGCGAGACCAGTTGAAACATGTCTGGAGAAGGTTGATTAAGAAAACGTATCCTCCAGGGTTCTCTCCCTCAGCCAAATGCCGGATGACGTCACCATGTGAACAGCAGCCAACGTTGACGACGAGAAAATGTTAACACAATGGCATTACTTTCATTGCCCGCAGTTAATCAATTCTACAAGGGATTCATTTAATTTGTAAATAGTGTATATGACACGGTTGTTGTATTCACCTTTTTTTCCCTTAAGGCCGTGAATTCAAAACAGTGTTAAGGGATAATTGATTACGATCAAGACGAGGGTCTCCAATGGAGTTCTTCAATACCGTCATACCGACAAAAAGTTTTCCAACCCCTAATCCTCGGGGCCTTTACCGGTTAATCCCTATCCTAAAAATAATGTTTTAAAAAAGTGCCGCTTTCGGCTCATTTAGATAGTGGGATTGAATCAGCAGTATGGTACAGTCAACTTCGGGTATGCGGTCACGGTACAGGCCCCAGAAAAATGTGAAAAACTTCTGTTTAGTGAAATAAAAAGGTGTTCCTTTTCAACACTTACAAATGCAGTTCATCACATTTCTTTTCCGATATCGCTTCTTGAAACAACAGTTTCCGAAATCTCACATTGTTAAGGGGGCTATGTTTTAGGTCAATCTGTGCTATAAAAAAATGCTCCGTGAGAAATTATATTAAGTAGATATCAATCTGATTTCATCTGGAAACACTATCCATAACAATGTTTCGGTGATTTTTGCATTTAGCATTAAAACTTGAAAAAGCTGGTTTCAATCCATCTCCATCCTGGCCATCTTTTGCAACAGGTCAAAGCCTAAATACAATCTTAATTAACAAAACTGGACTATTAGTTTTGGAATTCAAGTGATGCCGGGAAGGCAAATCTTTAGCTTTGTAAAAAGATAGCAAATAGAGTGTTGGTTTCAATTTATCTCAATCCTTGCCATCTGTTGCAACAAACGACAGGAAAGGGTTTAAAGCCTAAGTATAGTTTTAATTAACAAAACTGGGCCAAATTTTTAGCTTCGTAAAAAGACGGTAAATAGCGTGTTTATTCCTTTTCACAGTTTCTTCGCTCTTTAGTTTGACTAACGAATGCCTGGCACTCCATATTGATTCAGAAGTAAAGGCAGGGATATTGTGGCTGACTGAATGAAGTAACTGCCGATCGATTTTTTCCCCCACTTCATAACTTTTAGAGCACTGAAATAGCAAACCTCTATGACTCCAAACGATTTTTTGCACTTGTTATTGCAATTTATAGTATTAATATGTTTATGATTATTGCTATATTTGTTGGTTGATTTTTTATTTATGTCTCACATATTAGATATCACAATCTGCTCAATTTAGTAGAATACCGTTATGATTTGAAATCAAAGAGTAAACGGTAGATTACGAGAATTATTCACATAAGCAGCTTGCCGCATTCCTTACACCCAGGAAACGTGCTCTTAAATTGCCAAGGTTGTTTCATTTTATACTTATTGTTCAATTTTCTGGCACTAACTGTTTCCGCAACTGTGGAAATTTGCATGTATAAGGAAAACAAGTCCTTGAGATGACGCTCCGAACACCTCTTTGTGGAGACAGCCTCTTCTGGTTGGTTCCTTAATTACTCCACGGAACGCGGAAACTTAAAGCATCGAAAATTTGCTCAGGTTAGCACGTAAAGGAGCTCGAGCGCTATGCTAGGCACTTTCAGCCAATTTCAATTCTTCTAATAGATATTGGAGCGAGGTTAAATGAAGAACGGAGCATAATAAAAAATTGGAACGGCGAGGGAGAGAAGAGGGAGTAGTCGTGAAAAAGGACTAAACAAGGCCTGGCTACTGAGCGGGCGATAAAGTCGCGCGCATGTGTTTGTTGGGTAGAGGCCTGACCTCCTCCAGAGAGCTGAATACCAGTTTCTAACGTACAGAACTACAGACATTTATCACACGGCATTACTCTTTCTTTATCGAGACCTAAGAAGTCTAAGCGCGAACGGTAAACAGAATCACGTCATTAGTCAATATTTAGTCAATGTTCTTGGCTAGACTTGAGAGCATAATTCATAACAGCACGACACTTCATTCCACACCTTTCAATGTCGATTAGAACTCTTGTGGTATATAAGCGGTTAGCCGCTAATTGAGGCGGAGAAACCGCAACCCTTGTCCTTCATTTTGAAAGACAGTTGTCGAGGGGAACGATAGTTTTTGGTAAAAAGTGCAGAATCTAGTCGTTTTTATAAAAAAATCTATATTCAATAATGACTTGTTTTTAGTAAGGTGACTGTCACAACTGCTTTCTTGTTAGTTTGACGAAAAAGCGAGATATCGTGCAAAAGTCTATGATTCGGTTTACGTGGTTGAAGTTGCAAGACACAATTTATAACACTTGGCTTAAGTGAAGAAATCCGGAAATCGAGTACTTAACACTTTAAATCTCAGGCAACGTTTAGAAGAATCACGAAAATATGTGTTTTCGTTATGCAAGTTAGTAAACTTATAGTACTCTTAAACGCGTGATCCAACACACCGCTGCTAGGAATTACCAAATTACTAATGGGAAATGCTTAGAAGCTCAATTACTACTTTGCCCACACCACAACCTGAACAAACTTTGATTTGCTCGACGTTCTCACCCTCTTTGGACCGAATAATAACATAAAAAGCGTTCGAAAAACTTACGAATAGGTCTCACTACCTTCTAGAACTATAATGATGAATTCCGTACAATTGGGATTACGAAGATTACTAATTCCGAAGATTTTTTAATCTTATACCAACAAGAGGGTCATAAGTCACAGCAATTGCGAAATAAGCGTTATATTTGACTCGTAACTAACTGATCCTAACTTGAATAAGCCAACGCAATGTTTCTTTTGCTGTTGTAGAGGGTAATTATAGATCTTTTATCCAATTTGGAAGCCGCTATGATGAGTCCGCAGAATCCGTTTTTTTTTGTTAGTTTTGCGGTGTTGTTTTAAGTAATTCGTGCGATGGTAGCTCCGCTTAATCGTTTGTAATCCACATCGGGTCACGGCATCATTGCTATGATTCTTTCATTTTCTAGTTTCGTTAGTTTCGATCTCTAAACTTTACATTAGCAAGACAAACGTTTCTATTGTACATTGACATTCAATCAAGAAATCCCTCAATCTTTATTTGAAACGGTCTACAGAAAAAGACAGCTAGTTGGTCGTTGTATGTCGAACTTCAATCAGATATAAAAGTTAATTGGTATCTACAGTTGAATACTTATAATATACAACTGAAAATCCGATTACAATGGAGCTAACACAACTTAACAGAAAAATCTAAAATCTAAACTAAATTTTAATGTTGGTAAAATCGACAAATTTTTCTTAGTAAGATGAAGGCGGAGCATTATGAAGCACACCATACAAATAGAGAAAATCGGACTCTTTACTTGGACTACATGCAATCTTTTAGTGAACCTCGGCTCCGCTACAACTTTACTATCCTGTTCTGTGTTTTTTAAAGGCAGTTTTAAAGTGGTTATTTGTACGTTTCAGTTAATTCCATGACTAGTTCGTGGCCGACAGCGGAAACCCATAAAACTTATCCTAAGCGCTCTTCAAGGTCTTCAAATAATACTTGCCAACGCTTGTAGAACTAAAGGGGGCTGACAGAATTGCGGCATTTAAAGCAGAGCTGCGCTATTCTTAATACTTCTGGAATGTAAACTAAGTAACATGAATATAAGATTTATTTTTATTGCATTAAAATGTATATTTTCTGGTATATTATCTTAAGGGATAAAATTTTTCAAGGAAGCACACAGTTTTCTTTGTACAAGTCACACTCTAAAGAACCGAAGAAAGATAAAAAAAACCTTAAGCTCGATTTATCATGGTTCTTCTGGTTGGGTTGTAGTTGCATGAGGTTCTTTTTGTTTTGATATATTTAAAAAAGAGATTATAATTTTTAGAAATATTGTGTCAAACTACCTTGCCGCTTTGGATAACACGTCAAGATTTTCTTTATTTATATCAGAAAAAAACTATTTCCTTTCTTCGCCGACTGAATTGACTTAGTTTTTTTTCTCGAGCATAATCTGCTAAGACACGAAATAATGTCCATAACAAATGAAAACTAGATAAAACGATTAAATTTTCACAAAAATTACGACAAAAACGTTTTTTGTTGGCGCCATTGGTGTCAGTGATCACAAGTGGCACGCCACCGTGGCTACAGAGGCTTTAGGCTTTGTTTTCTTTTGAACATAAGTCATAGGTCAAAACTTTAAGTTTCCACCTGAAACTCTTTCGTGCTTGTATAATTTGAGATTAAAAAAGCTCAAAATAAAACCTTATACAACCAAACTTGTCTTAGCAGAGACTCTTAGAATAGAGGAACATAATCTATAACCGACGGTAACTTTTCAAAAAGTATGTTGACTAGTATACTAAGTGTAGAAAATATTTGAGTTCACAACGTTAATTACCGCCATTTGTGCTTTATTTTTGACAAGCCATGATGACCCAAGAAAGT